TTTGAGCCCAGCATGGGCAACTTAGTGACTTAGTGAGACCTGTGTCACTAAGGGGAAGCAGTTCAGTGTATAGGCCCCGGGTTCAATCTTCAGGAGAGAGGAGAGGAGGGGAGAGGAGAGGACAGGAAGGAAACAAATTGAAGGACAGGAAAAGAAAAGGACGTGCTCTGGCCAGCGGACAGGACCTAACCCACTGCTCCGTCCCAGCTCCTCGGGAGCAGGACCCGGTCCCCCAGCCCCAGCGGCCTCCTTTGGGGACCCCCTGTCGCGGCTCCTGCAGACCCAGGGGCAGGGACACAGCTTGGGACAGGGAGGGGCGGTCTTGCCTGCAGCGTGGAGATGACGCCCGCGGCCACCTGCAGGACAGCGCTCATGGTGTCGGACACTTCAAACACGGCTTCCTTGTCCTCCTGGGGGCGCACGCAGGGGTGAGGCCCAGGGACGCTGGCCCCACAGCCCCGCTGCTGTGCGCTCACGCCCATGGCTGGGGTGTCGGGGTGGGAGGGACAGGAAAGGCGTGGCCGCTCTGGGGTCCCCGCCACCCCAGCCCGCACCTGCAGGTCCTTGTTGTAGGTGCTCGGAAGTCCCTTGAGCGTCATGAGGAGCCCGGCGCACTGCGGGAAGAGACGGCTCAGGGGCCCGGCGCTGACCCAGGATGCAGCCCCAGGCCCGGCCGCCCTCCCCGCCGCTCACCCGCCCAAACACGCGGCCCGCCTTGCTGCGGATGAGCTCCAGGCTGTCCGGGTTCTTCTTCTGGGGCATCAGGCTGCTGCCGGTGCTGCGGACACAGGGGCCGGGGCTGAGGCGCAGGGCGGTGCCAGGGACACAGGGAGCCAAGGCAGCGGACAGAGGCCGGCGGGCCCTCACCTGTAGGCGTCCGAGAGCTGCACGAAGCTGAACTCCTTGGTGCTGTAGAGGATGAGGTCCTCGGCCATCCTGCTGAGGTGGGTCGCGCACAAGGACGCCCAGAACAGGAACTCCACTGAGCAGGGAGCAGGGGACAGCAGGCGCTCGCGCGGCCCCCAGGCTTCTGTGCCCTGCCCGGCCTGGAGAAGCTCCGGGGGTGGCAGGAGCCTGGAGACAAGCTGGGCCGGGGACAGAGGCGGCGCAGGGGCGGGTCCCGGAGTGGGCTGGCACCCGCAACTCACCCACAAAGTCTCTCTCGCTGGTGGCGTCCATGCTGTTGAGTGTGATGGCCCCAAAGTTCAGTTCTAGGGGTGGAGGGGACATGGGGCGGGCCTGGAGGGTGGAGAGTGGGCTCCACGACCCCCAAACGGCCCCTGCTACCTCCCAGGAGGGACAGTGGGGGATAAGGTTGCAACACAGGTCACATGAGAGGGCAGGACCCCCGAGCTCCCCGACCAGGCTCCACCCCACGGGCAGCACAGCCTCTGCAGCCTCAGCTAGGAAGGGCAGAGCTGCTCTCTCACCCCCGCGCCCCTGCAGGACAGGACAGGCGCGGGAGTGACAGCGGGGAGGAGGGCCGTGCGTCTCACCTGCTCGGAGCAGCTCCCGGTCCACGCCCAGAGGGTTGCCCGCAATGGCCCCACTGCGGGGACAGGGACAGGGGTCAGAGGGACCAGGCCTCCTGGCAGGCGCACGCACACACACACACACTGCACGGAGAACCAAGCCTTGGCGGCCACACTGCACCCCAGGGCGCGGCCTTTCCCGGGCCTGGCCACCTGGAACACCAGAACTCTTTTCCCGCGTGGGGGAATGGCAGGCTGGAGGCAGCTGGCTCTCAGACAGCCTTGGCCCTGGTTGGACACATTACCAGCTTAGCTCTCCCCCTCTGAGAGACAGCTGGAGGCCCACGCAGCTGTAAGCCCTGCCCCTGGCTTACGAGTTGCAGTTGAAACATACAGTGAGTGTTTACATGAAAAAATGTGCTACAGTAAAAGACACAGTGCCGTGAGTCCCCCTCAGGGTCCTCCCCTTGCTTGCAACACTCATCCCATCGTTCTGGCCACTTTCTGAAGCACTTCTGGAAGTCTTCTTTCAGAAGTCTTTACCAGGTGTGATAAAAACTGCAGCGAATGATGCTGCTGGGCACCACCCAACAGAAAGGTGGGCTTGTAAAGACACGGTGCTGTCCTCACCTCCTTATTCACCGAACCTGGCACAGTGTAACTAACGCCTCTTCCCGAAGTCAAAGTGACCCTGAGAGGGAAATGTTTTGAATTGATTCTGGACATTGAGGCAGCCACAGCAGAGCAACGAAAGACCCTCATGGCAGAGAACTCCAGAGCTGCTCCAGAAGGCGTCAAGAAGGATGGGCTAAGTGTGTCTGCAGCAAGGGGGAGGATTTCATGAGAGAGATTCACAGCAATGTGTCTTCTACTGTAACACACTTTTTAAGACTTAAACGTTTACCATATTTTATGACTGTGCCTCTTATTACCCTGCTGCCTGTCTCCTCGGTCCCTGGCTTCTTGCGCCACTCGCAAAGGAGCACGCCCCACCCCACCCCACCCTGGCCCCTGCACCCTTTGGCTTCACTCACCTCCCCAGGGGCAGGACATCGATCCGCTTCTGCACCTCCAGCAGCCTCTCGGAGTCCCGGGTCAGCGCCACAGCGTGGCTGTGGGAAGCCAGGGCTGCAGGCTCAGGGCAGCTGGTCTCCCCGCAGTCCCCCACACGTCCCCAGCTCACCTGAGGATCCAGTGGCTCCAGCGGATAGGCTGGGCCCTCTGCAGGTGTGTGTACCCAGGAAAGAGGATGTCGCGTTCCCTGCAGGGACGAGAGGGCCAGGGGCCTGAGGGCTAGGGCCAGGCATGGCCTGCCCAGGACACCAGGGCCTGGGGCCTCCAGGGAGCGCAGGGTGGCCCACGAGCCCCTGCCCACACGAGGGACCAAGCAGTCTCCTGTGGGGGGCAGGTGAGTGGATCACCGGGTGCTGTGCTTTTCAGGGGATTCATCCACGCATGGGTTCAGAGCTGGGCATGCTGTTAGGAGGCGGAGCCTGGCTGGAGCTGGTCACTAGGGGTGTGGCCTGGGAAGGCACGTTCTTGTCCCCAGCCCGTCCCCTCCCTTCTCTGTCCCAGGCCACCTGGGTCACTCATCTGACCTCACCCAGACCCTTCCCTCATACTGTTCCTGCTTTGGATCCAGTCAACCATGGGCTGAACCCTCTGAAACTGCGACCTAAATGACCTTCTCCCTCCTCTAACTTTCAGGTGTCATCAAAGGAACAGGCAAGTGGCTAATAAGAGACCTCAGAGGAAAGCCAGGCGCGGCTGCACGCACTGTAGTCCCAGCACTTGGGAGGCTGAGGCAGGAGGACCACAAGTTAGAGCCCATCCTGGACAACTTAGCAAGACACTACTTCAAAATTTAGGAAAAAAGTTGAGGTGAGGGTGTCGTTCAGCGTGAAGGCCCCAGTTCAATCCCTAATACCCGTGAAAGAGTGAATGAATGAACAAACGAATGGTAGGGCAATGGCAGAGGAGCCGCTGGGTGGTAATTATTTTTTAAATATATAAAACATCTATTTTACCCATTTAAAGTGTACACTTCGGTTTGCAACTATCATCTTAGTCACTTGAACACTTTCATCCCCCCAAAGTGACCGTCCTTGTGTCTTTACGTGTCCCAGCATAAGGGGTTACAGGGCCCTGGGGAAGAACAGGGTCAGCTCCATCCCCAGGGCCACGTGGGGACTCCGCAGCTCCTGGCCAGGTCTGCAGGAGCAAAGCTCTGGAGACACTGGGGTGCGGCAGCCCAGGCTTGGGGGCGCCAGGTGAGGGGACTGGTGGCTCCAGGCTCTGCCCTGGTGGCTTTGGAGAGTGGGGCTTCCTGGCTCTGTCCACCCTGGCCACCTAAAGCCACCCAGTACCAAAAAAACACACCCCTCCATAGGGGACAGGAGACCCCCGCTGCCCTCGCGTCCTCGCTTACGCCTCTGCCCGGTCCACCATGGTCCGGATGAGCTCCCGCAGCAGCCCCGAGAGCGAGGTGCAGGTCTGCCGCATCCACAGCCGCAGGTCCGTCACCACCTGGTCGTTGCGGCTGCGTCCCGTGTGCAGTTTCCCCGCCACGTCTCCGACGAGCTCCTGGGGGACGGGGCACGGGGTCAGGGCTGCCGGCCACTGCAAGAGCCCCTCCCCAACCCTGCAGGGTCCCCCATTCCACACGGTCCCAAGGCCGAAGGGAAGAGAACGACAGCGGGTGACCTGGACAAGAGGGGAGGGAGGCCAGGTGGGCAGAGGGGTGTGGGGACCCCGCACCTTCAGGCGCCGCTCATTGGCTGTGTGGATGTCCTCGTCATTGGGGTGCAGCTTAAAAGTGCCCTGGGCCCACTCTTCCGCCACCTGTAGTGGGAACAGGCTGGGGATATAGCTCAGCGGCACTAGCGCCTGCCTGGCAAGCGCAAGGTCCTGAGTTCGATTCCCAGTACCAAAAAAACACACAAAAAAAACAAAAAAAGCAAGCAAACAAACAAAAAAACCCAGGTAGAGACATCAGCTGCTGAGAGATTTCCTGTCCCAGGTGGCTGACTGTCCTCGTGAGGAACCTGAGTCCCAGAGTGCCCCCCTAATCCCATAGGAGCATCTCAGGCCCAGCCCATCTTCTCCCTCAAGCCAGGAACTTATGGGAATCTTTATTTTTTCATTTATTTATTTATTTTTTTGGTCTTTTTGAGACAGGCTATGCAGTTCAGGCCAGCCTGTAGCCCAGGTTGATCTCGAACTCACAACGATTCTCCTGCTTCAGCCTCCCGAGTGCTGGGATTACAGGCGTGCGCCGCCATGCCCGGCTTTGGGAATCTTTAAAAGATGAAGAGAGTGGTAGGCTCAGTGGTGAATGTCCGTAATCCTGGTACCAAGGGAGGCTGAGGCAGGAGGATCTCAAGTACAAGTCCCTCCAGGGCAATTTAGAGAGAGACTATCAAAATAAAAATGGGTGGGGCTGGGAATTTAGCTCAGTGGCACAGCGCCTGCCTGGCAAGCGTGAGGTTTTGAGTTCGATTCCAGGTACCAGAAAATAAAATAAAATAAAATAAAAATGGGAGGTGCTTGCTTCGGCAGCACATATACAAAATAAAAAATAAAAAAGGACCCAGATGACTTTCAGTGGTAGAATATTCCTGGGTTTGATCCCCAGTACAGTTTAAGAAAAAAGAAAGAAAGAGAGAAAGAGAGAAAGAGAGAAAGAGAGAAAGAGAGAGAGAAAGGAAGGAAGGAAGGAAGGAAGGAAGGAAGGAAGGAAGGAAGGAAGGAAGAAAGAAGAGAAAAAGTACCTGGTCCAGGCCGTGCAGGATCTGGTCCCTCTCCGCTGTGGTGAGGAGCCCCGCCTTCTCCAGGCCCCGGCTGTAGGCCTTGCTCCCCTGCACGTCCACCTCCCACAGGTGCCGGTCATAGGCGATGGATGCGTTGAATCTCTCCATGATGGGGTCCACAGCACCCGCAAACCGGCCACCCCACAGCTTTCCACTCTGGGCAGGAGAGCAGTGGCAATGAATTAATCATCTTCCCTCCCCTAGAAAAGGTCCTCTCAAAAAAGGCCTTCAGGGTCTGGCAAGGAAGCACGTGCCTGTGATCCCATTGCTGTGGGAGGCAGAGGCAGGAGGATGGAAAATTGGAACCTAACTTGGCAATTTAACAAGACCCTGTCTTAGTCAGCCGTGGTGGCGTATGCCTCTAATCCCAGCACTCAGGAGGCTGAGGCAGGAGGATCGTTGTGAGTTCGAGACCAGCCTGGGCCCCAAAACGAGTTCAAGATCAGCCTGAACTGTATAGCAAGACCTTGTCTCAAAAAGACACACACATACATGGAAAAAAAAAGCAAGATCCTGTCTTAAAATAAAAAATAAAAAGGGTTGAGGATGTAGCTCAGAGAGAAGGCCCTGGGTCCAATAACCAGGACTACAGGGAGAAAAAGTCTACAGGAAAGATATGAACAGGCTTATTCTCCCTGGACAGATAAGGAAACTGAGGCATCGAGGGTGGGGGCCATGGCTGCACAGGAAGTCAGGCTTCTTTGGCACCACACGGCATGACTGCAGAGAAACGGTGGTATTATAGACAGCTAAGACAAAAGGTGAAAACCCGCGACACTGCATCAGTTGGAAGCCAGGCTTCGAGATAACAACCAAAGGACCAAGCCTACATCTTCCCCAAGGGGTGAAATAGTAATAACACCTGGTCTAGATAGGCATCAGCCACCCCAGTGGGCAACCAAGACCCCAGATCCCTCACCTGCCTGAGAAGGTCTTTGATCTTTCCATGCCTGCTGGCTGCGTGACCTGTCTCCGCTTGGGGTCAATGTTACCTGCAGCTGTACTTGTAATCTCACTGGTTGATCATAGCTGTCGCCCACACTGTGCCCATGTGCATTTTGCTCTACAAAATTTCCCTGTAGAGTGGGGCTACCGATCCGGGTCCCCTGCTGTCCCTCTGGCAGGAGCTTCCTGTCTCTCAATAAATATTTCCTACTCTTAACCTCCATTGTCCCTAGAATTCATTCTTTGACTTTTAGAGAACACGAACTTGGCGAATCAGACATCTAACAGGTTGGAAGATATATGTCTCTTATGTCATATTTGGAGGCTCTGGTATCATCCCTGTAAGAGCAGCATTCCTGGGGCCACAAGGGAAATTCTTGGACCTTTCTTGCCTCTGACCAAGTGGAGAAGTCGCCCCCCCAAAAAAAACTCAGTTTTTTTTTTTCCTTTTTGAGACAGGGTTTTACTACGCAGTTCAGACTGGCCTCCAAGTGATCCTCCTGCCTCAGCCTCCCAAGTGCTGGGATTACAGGCGTGTGCCACGGTGTTAGGCTGAAAGCTCAGTTTTATTCCAGCCCCTCTGTGCCAGTGAGGAGGCTAAGGACAATCTGTGCACACTGGCCGCCACCTCCACCTCACTGTGTGCCGTGGGCACCTGCACCAGGCTGGGAGCCCTCTGTGCCTGACAACCCTGCTGACCCATGGCCACCTCTGCCCCGTGCGCCTTGTGTGCTCCACCCCCAGGGACCCCACCAAGACCTGATCTTCAGCAAAGCACCTCGAGCACCCTGAGAGGCTGAGGAAAGAGGATCACAGGCTTGAACCCAGCCTGGGCAATTTAGCAAGATACTGTCTCAAAACAAAATATTAAAAAGGGCTGGGGATGTAGCTCCGTGCAAAGGCCCTGGATTCAATCACCAGTACCAGGAAAACAAAGCACCATATGGAGCCCCGGGCCAGAGGTTGGCCAGGGAAGTCAGGAAGTCAGAACCAGGAGCCTGGAAGGACCTCCAAGCAGTTTGTGGGCCTCCCTCCTCGTCAGTAATAACAACAACTCCCTAACGTGCAGGCCTCCGCCCAGCCAATTAGCACCAACCCACGGATGGCCGGGCAAGCTCAGGTCATGCAGCCTGGACTGCAGGGGACCCTGTGCTCTGGGACCAAGCCCCGCCCCGTGGGCTGCCTTGTAAAATGGTGCCAGGAGGACGTCAGAGGCGGTGCCACCCGCGGGGGAGGAGGACAGGAAGCCCAGGATGGCCGACGCCTGGCCCAGGCTGAGCTCCAAGGGGTGAGTGTGCGGGGACGCTGGGCTGGGCCGGAGGTGCAGCGACTGAGGGCGCGCAGAGGACCGGCAGCGCTGCCACTCTCGGCCACCATCACCATCACCTCCTGGGCTGGTTCCGGAGACGGGACGGGGGCCCTCGCTCCCCGTGAGGTGGGCAAGGCCACTCCGCTTTTCTCGGGAGGAAAAGGGTTCCGAGCTCAGGCAAGTCCAGGACAGAAACTGGGTCTATGCTGCTCCACCGTCTGGGCCTCCTCCGCGTGACCCAGGGGCTTGCGTCTGCTGTCCCCCACCCGGGCCTTCATTTCTTCAGGGGACAGAGGGGAGTCGTCTCCTCCAGTGAGGACAGAGGGCCTGGGCCCAGGCGCCTGCTTCCCAGGCATCAGCCAAACAGTGACCCCCCTTTTTCTTTTCTTTTATGTGATTTTATTTTTCGCAGTACTGGGAAGTGAAGCCAGGGCCTCTGCACCGAGCTACTTTCCCAGCCTTTTTTATTTTTTAAGACAGGGTCTCACTAAGTCTCTAAGTTGCCCAAGCTGGGCTGCAACTTGCAATCATCCTGCCTCAGCCTCCCAGCTTGCTGGAATGACAAGGATGTGCCACGCCTGGAAGCAAACAGCCCTTTCTACCCCAGGGGATCAGAGCAGTGGCCTCAGGACCCAGCGCCTTAGAGCGGGAGATGGACAGCTGTTATTGTCCCTACCTGCTGGGGACCTGTGGCAGCCTCGGGCCAGGCACCATGCCCTCCCACCGGCTCCCCCCCCTCCCCCGCCTGCACACCCAGGTCGTCGCAGGCTAAGCTCGGGGCAAGGTGTGTGTGTGTGTGTGTGTGTGTGTGTGTGTGTGTGTGTGTGTGTGTGTGTG